GTGTACTGTTCTACTTAAATGGGAAATATAAATTAAGCACTAAGGTAATGTTGCAAACTATCAATACAGACTTTTGCTTATGAGGGATATTTGGTCTTGTATTATCAATGTGTTTTTTATGTTCTTAATCATAAATTTAAAAATTTAATATTAAGACTATGTTGTGTTTTCTCTCCTGACAAACTAATATGCTTCTTGCTTCTCTCACTTAATATTAAGAATGATATAATTGATTATACTTCCATATTACCTTTCCTACCAACTCACAAAGACCTAAATTTTGTTCTTAATTTTAATTTGCATACTTTAGATTTTTTTCTGGCATTACTACTGCTTCATTATCCTTTATTACACAGCTCTTAGTCTTTGCTTTGATTCTCATGTGCCTGGGATGGTTTCAAAATAACCTATTGAAAACACATTTTGAAAACAGGTGAGATAGAAAAAAATGGGCTCTCTAAATTTTATTTAGGAAAGATTGACAAGAGGCAATCTGGTTGAAGGGGTATTCTAGGAGACTTTTGAAATTGTATTCATAAAGTAAGTATATTGTGTTTATTTAGATTGTTTTTTGTTTTTTGTGTGTGTGGCTATGAGTTGGAAAAACAGATTGCCTTTTTAGCCCTCTGACAGGTGCTGTTACTGAAGTACACTCACAGTGTAATCCATTCATTCATTTATTTAATAAATATTTACAGAATGCAAACTGAGCACTGTTTTGGATGCTGGGAATGCAGCAGTCTTCTGCTGTCCTGGAGGTTCCATTCTAGCAAGTGAAAGAAGCATATTATTGTGTGTCAAAAATAAGGCAATGTCATCCCTTGCAATACTGCACAGAAATTGAAAAAGGCACCCAACCAAAAAGGAAAAAAACCAAACAAACAAAAAAACAAAACAGAAAAGTTTAGACTAAAAGCAAACTTATAAAAACACAAATTTTCCCCCCTAATTCCACAAACTCAAACTAATTGAAGTCATTAAATTATTAGTGTATCTCAATATATGTTTTAGCTGTGAGATAAAAGCAAAAAATAAAGAAGCTAAGAACCATTGAGAAAATGAATTTAAGACAACTTGACCATTATGTTCCTCAAATTTCTGTAAATTTAGAAGTTTACTACTTCTTTTATGGGATATATTATTAGATGATGGAAAGAATCAGAATAGGACATAAATATCTATTCTGCCAATCACCGGTGTGTTACTCTAGGACATTATTTAACTTCTTTAAGCTTAATTTTTTATCAGCAAAATCAGAGTAGAATACTTACCAGCATGACTGGGAGAATTAAATAATATGCCAAATTTAACTTATCTAGCACATTTTATGGCTCATGAAAATCTTGCTTAAGTCGGTATCTTTCCCTCCCCCAGGCCTTTGACTGTATGCTTACAGCTCCCTTTGTCTATATATGTATATTTGAAAGGTTTTCAATATTTTTGAACAACATAAAATTGAAAAAGGCTTAGAACTTTGTTTTCTGTGGTTATTTTTTGAGAGTGACAATTTATAGAGGAGGGTTATAATGAAATATTATTTTAAATGTTTTAGGGTACCTGGGTGGCTAAGTCAGTTAAGCATCTGCCTTGGGCTCAGGTCATGATCTCAGGGTCCTGGGATCGAGCCCTGCATGGGGCTCTCTGCTAGGCGGGGAGTCTGCTTCTCCCTTACCCTCTGCCCCTCCCTTCTGCTCATGCTGTCTCTCTCAAAATAAATAAATAAAATATTTAAAATAAAAAAATAAATAAGCATCTTAAACTATTTTTAAAAATAAGAATTTCTCATGTGAAAAGGAAAGAAGGAAGCTGCTAAGAAACCCTATTAATCTAGTAGAAGTTACTCTAAACCCCAACATTCTACAAAGGATTATACTTTTACAGCCATAAAAATTGCTTTAAATAATATATAGCACCATCTGCAAACAATGAAATCCTCAATCTAAGATTCTCTTTTAACTTATTTATATTTTTATTTCAACTTAATAAACATTTTTTCTAGTGATTAGAAAATTGATTCATGCATATTATAAGGGAAAAAAGAAAAATAGAATGAACCCATTATATCATTACCTAGAAAGAACTCAATGTGCAATATGTATTCAATCCTATATTTATGATACAATGAAAAATGACTAAAAACCTCTTGATAGCACATAATATAATGAGTTTCATAGTTCCTTTCTTATAAAATTAATCAAAATGAATAAATGACAATAAGGTAAAACATACTATAAACAATCTAGTGGGCAATGTGGGGTATAGCAAAATGATGGGATACATGTATATGAAACTCTGATGGTATGGTTTAATCCACAGATAGTATTTATTTATTTATTTATTTATTTTTTTTTTTAAGATTTTATTTATTTGTTTGACAGAGACAGAGACATCGAGAGCAAGAACACAAGCAGGGGGAGTGGGAGAGGGAGAAGCAGGCTTCCCGCCGAGCAGGGAGCCCGATGCGGGGCTCGATTCCAGGCCCCCGGGACCATGACCTGAGCCGAAGGCAGCCGCTTAACGACTGAGCCACCCAGGCGCCCTACAGATAGTATTTAAAGCAGTTAGAAGAATGGATTGAGTATCTTTAGGCAGTAATCCCAGGAATATTATTTTTCTTAATTGTTATTTTGTAAGTATTAATGAGTCTGAGAAAGCAGAATTTGAGGTTGGGCCTCTGACAGTTTTATGTCTCCAATTACGGGATGATCCATACATCTAGAACCTCCAAATGAGCTGGGGATTCTCTGGGGAGTTACATGGAAAGATGGCTTGGTGGATTGATAATGAGATACAGAACCTTTAGCCTCTTGATCACAAGGTCATTTGTAAGCTGGGAAGAGGGTAATCAAAAGTCATTATTGGTCAATACCTTACAAGAGCAAAATGAATTGCTTAGCTCAGTTCAGTTTTTATTACCATTTGAGAGCTATTTGTTACCAGTTATAGATCCAATGCGTGACCCTTTACCATTAAAGTTCACTTGTCCTGAACAGGATCAAGATGTATTTTACAAACCATGGAAGAAAAAAAATATCTACGTGTGCCATCATGTTGGTTGTTTCTTAAGCTTTCAGGCCAGTCTATTCATCTACTTTTACTAAATCTAAGAAAATGGATTTAAAATTGTACCCTAAATAGAAAATTTTTACTTGGGTTTTTCTGAATTACTAGTTTGCTCTAAGCTAAGGCTAGTTGTGTCTTTTACAGATAGAGATGTTGTAATGTCTTTTTCTTAGTAGTGAAAAATCCATGTTTGTGTTGTGAAAATTATGCACTTTCATTGCCCTTTTTAGTGATGAATTGCTGCCTGGATTCTCTGTGCTGGACCTATTTGCTCTTTTACTAATGCAAGCTTTGTGGGATTGTTCTGTGGTATATCCAAGAAACAGATGCTTTGTACTTTGTGTTAAAGTTAATTAGGGTTGCTACTGATTAATATGTGTCTTAGTGTAAATGACCTCATATTATATATCTCTAATTTGTCAACAATATACTTGTAGAAATAAATGGTAAAAATTAAGGGGAGAAAAAAAGTATTATGACCAAGTAGTTAGTAATTCAGAGAAAAACTAGGCCTTGTTTCAAATCCTGGTGCTCTGTATACAGGATTAGGGACAGGACTATGTATCTACAGTAATATGTAACCCAACAGGCACGAGGTTTCTGGTTATCCAATTCTGAAAGAAAAAAATTCTATGACTGAATATTCAGCAAGAGCCTAATGCCTGGCACAAAAATTGGCAGAAAGATTAATTACACATAGATCTGGTCTTCAGATAACATAATAGACCATTAGCAAGTAGAGAGCCAAGAATATTCTTGCTTTATAATCTCAGCACCTAACAGAGTACCTAGCTGAAACTAACTGAGGGTTTGGGTAATTACTGAAAGAATGAATGAATGGATGAACTGTTATAACATGTTATTTATATGTCCAAAGAGTCTGCTATGGAATTTTTTTTACAGATGAGAGAGCTTAATTGAAGCCTGAAAATCAGATATTTGCTATAGTAGTGAAATCATAAATCCCATGAAGCATCTCTACTAGGAAAACAACCATAGAAAAGTCTTTAATCAACTTAGTTCTCCATTATCTGCAGCTAATATCCTTTTGCACCACAGTAAAAGTACAAAAGCATTATATATGATTCCATTTTAATTTATTTTCATGTGACTTCATTTTTTTCTTCATCCATTATTATCCAAAATTCTGATTATTCATTCCATAAACTTGTTCTGGTAAAAGTTCTGAAGCAAAATTTAAAGTAAGTTCCATATATACCTGTATAATTCAGTAATTTATACTTTTTTGTCATTACTTATCATCATTGAGATTGACTTCAAGTAATGCCTTGGCTGGGTGTATTTATAAAAATAGAGGTATATATATATATTTTTTTCATAATTCAGCCTGTGATATGTAAAATGTTAGAGACTGTCAATGAGTTTTTGTTTGTTTTATGTGCATGCGTATAAGCATTTGAACAAAATGTGATTCTCTGGATGGGACACAGTGGAAAAGAAATGTCATATTTTTTTTCTCAGTTTCCCTGTGTAGTAGAACAAAATGTTAAACTCCTTGATTCAGCTCATCCAAACAAAATTCCATACTCCCTATCATCAGTGTGAAATTTCTCTTCAAAATCAACAACCAATGAAACATGAATGGACACAGGAAAGGAAAGTTACTTCATGTTTTTCTCATGGGTTTTCCTGATAATAATTGCCTGTGTTTTCCCATTTACCCTTAGCTTCGTCAGAGACCCTTCACCACCTCCATAGATCCATCCCACCAGAGGTCACAGATCACACAAAACCTACAGAAACAGGAAATCAAACTTCCTGAGTCCACCACAAAACACAGAAACCTATTTCCTCTACACATCTCAAATTGGCAAAGCTCTGTCTTAGCGGATTCAGTGTGGAAGTAGCTGTTGAAAAGACCAGAAGGACTGTTATCTCCCAATTTCGCATGAGCTTTCTTGCTTCAAACTACTGAGATGAAGAGCGCAAGGCTATTTATCCTGCTTTCTAGTTTATGGAATGGGGGCTTTGGGCTTATCAACACCACGCATACTTGGACTACCCCTGAGGATGCAAGCTCCCAGGAGAACATGGCCTCTGCTACGGTTCCTTTAAATAAAATGCTGCCAACCCCTCAGATCACAACAGCTGAGATAGCCACAATTCCTGAGGCAAGAACCTCTGAAGAGAGTCTTCTAAAATCAACACTGCCTCCCTCAGAGACAGGCACACCTCCTGAGGGTGGGAGAAACCAAACTCTCACACCCCCAGGGAAGATAGAAGGGGTGCTGAAGTTACCGCCTCTTGCCCTCCCAACCAAACCTAGCCTCAAGTTCAGCCCAAGAGCAGAGTCAGTGGTCCTTTCCAACTCTACAATGAAATTTCTTCAGAGCTTTGCCACAAAGTCGAATCAACAAGCGATCTCTCCCAACTCAATTGCAGGCGGCCTGGGAAATCGGTCCCCACGGGACACATACCTCAGCAGAGGTGACAGCACTGGAAGCCAGAAAACCAACTATCAAAAATCAAGTTTTGAAACAACTAGAGGAAAGTAAGAAACAATTCTTTTATTTTTTTTTTCCTCTCCCTAACTATAAAGTCTATAAGATTGCAAGCTAACAGTTTCTCACTCTCAGAAAATGTTTTTATGTTCAGGATGAAAATGGATCACATTTCAGTTAGATAAGGTAATTAAGCATTACTTTATCTAATGGAGAAAAGATGAACCAAAAAATGCAGCAATTTTGTTTTAATTGAACCAATCAAAGTCACTTATAAAAGGGCCTTTACTTGAGATAGTCACTAACAAGCAATGTAACACCACAGTTACTGTTAGTTGTTGATTCAACTCAAGGGTATGTGGGTGGGGCTCAGAAGGACACCCACAACATGAAAGAAAAAATGACAATACAGTTGGGACATGAACAGATTTAAAAATTGACAGAGCCTGGTGCTATGGAAGGTATAGTTATCAAGATCAAACCAAGCAGAGCTGGGGTGGAATCCTGGTTCCAGTACTATCTAGCTTGGTGACTTTGAGTAAGTTAATTGAGCTCCCTGAGACTGAGTTTTTTCTCATGTAAAATACAGATATGGTATAGGGGGTACAGATAAAAAATACTAACTTTACAGGGTGATCCTGCAAGATTTGTATTAATCAAATATATTTAGATGCATGCTTCGCACAGAACAGGTGCTAAGAAACATATTTTACTAGTACTGTTATATTGAGTTATGCCATTATCATGAATGTGATGAATAGAAAAGCCAATTTTTCAAATTGATTTTGATTTAAAATTCGAGCAAATCCTATGTGAATTGTTGAAGTTAAAAAATAAAACTTTTAAAAGTATTGTTAATGAAGGGGCGCCTGCGTGGCTCAGTCATTAAGCGTCTGCCTTTGGCTCAGGTCATGATCCCAGGGTCCTGGGATCGAGCCCCGCATCAGGCTCCCTGCTCAGCGGGAAGCCTGCTTCTCCCTCTCCCACTCCCCCTGCTTGTGTTCCCTCTCTCGCTGTGTCTCTCGCAGTCAAATAAATAAATAAAATCTTTAAAAAAATATATCGTTAATGAAGACTTTCAAAAGGACCAAAAAAATACTAAAACAAACAAACAAACAAACAAAATAGCTGTGAAAAATGCAGGTCAATGTTTTTATTTAATGTTCAGAGTGATCTGTTTGGAATACTAGTAGTTTAGTGTTATAAAACTAAACTTTCAAATGCTTTTTACCTACAATAAAATAATTTCAAGACATCAAATAATGCCTTGAGATCTTAGTTGAGTTAAACATCTTACTAACTATTTAACATAGTTTAAGTTAATGATAGTAACTTACACCTGCTCTGTGAGAGGCATTGTGTCAAAGCTGTTGTTGACATAAAGATGAGGAGACACTGGGAAGAATATAAACCAATAGATTCATATTTATGTATTCTTTATTATTTAAAACCATTATTTCATTGTATTTCAGAGATTATAGAACTTTAAAAATATATATAAGTAAATCTGATTTTAACTAAATACTTATTTACTTGGTGGAATTTAGAACAATCCCAATTTACTGTAAAACAAATGCTGCAGATTACAAAATGTTCAACTCAGGTTGGGTAAACTTTGCCTATAACAGACATTTTAACATATACATTAAACTTTTTCATGTTGAGGGACAACAGAATGCACTCTATTAAATAATGATAACAAATGCCATATCACTTACATGATCATTTCTATTAGTCATATTTTATTAGACTCCATAATTTTATTTTTTAAATCATTTAATAGTACTCTTAGGCACTCACTGAAAATGATTATGAACTCTTTAAAGATGCTGTCATTAAGAGATTTATCAATAGAATACGAAATATAATCAAAACAAGAAGGGGAAAATTCACATTAAAATGTCACTTGAATTTTATATAACATTTTTTCATAATTAGAACTCGTAATTGATCATTTGAAAAATACTAGTTTTTAAATAAATGCTAGTTGTTTTATTATGTGCCTGACACTGTTCTAGTTTCTAAGGATACATAGAATTTTTAAAAGAAGAATGATTCTGCCTGCAGGGATATGTCTTATAAAAAGTAAGCAATAACATATCTGTCAGATTTCTAAAAACTCAATATGTATTAGGAGGAAACAAGATATTAAAAGTGTAAACTGCCAAACAGAATGTTGTCCCATGGATTTTTCCAATGAAAATAATTTTAAATTACTTCTAGAGAAAAGTACCGACTGTACTTAGAGATTCTATAGCCCGAGGTCCTGGAAAGCCTGAGGTTTCCTTTTGGTGATCCTTTCCATCAAGCCCAAGACTTCTTACTCATTATGCCATGTAATTGATAATGGTGCTAGAGAAAACAGTTCCGTGCCTTATGGACACAATGCTGATGCAAAGAAGCCTTGATAAGGTCTTTCATGTTTTCATTTGATTAGCAAGTAAAAACAATAGCAAACACTTTATGACATCTGTTCCTAGCACTGTATTGCTCTGAGTGAATATATATATATATTTTTTCTTCAATCATTTGATCACTACCATAACTTCATGAAGAAGATTCTGTTATTATTTCTTTCAGAGAGATTAAGTAATTTAACTAAGGGCACTTAAAAGTAAATCTCGGAGGGTATTATGCTGAGCGAAATAAGTCAATCAGAGAAAGATGTATCACATATGAATTCACTGATATGAGGAATTCTTAGTCTCAGGAAACAAACTGAGGGTTGCGGGGGTGGGGGGGGGTGGGAGGGATGGGGTGGCTGGGTGATAGACATTGGGGAGGGTATGTGCTATGGTGAGCACTGTGAATTGTGCAAGACTGTTGAATCACAGATCTGTACCTCTGAAACAAATAATACATTATATGTTAAAAAAAAAAGAAGAAGATAGCAGGAAGGGAAAAATGAAGGGTGGGAAATCAGAGGGGGAGACGAACCATGAGAGACTATGGACTCTGAGAAACAAACTGAGGGTTCTAGAGGGGAGGGGGGTGGGGGGATGGATTAGCCTAGTGATGGGTATTAAAGAGGGCACGTTCTGCATGGAGCACTGGGTGTTATAAGCAAACAATGAATCATGGAACACTACATCAAAAACTAATGTACTATAACGTATGGTGATTAACATAACATAATAAAAAAAAAGTAAATCTCGGGGCAGAGATTCAAACCAGGTTGGCTGGCTTCGGAGACATAGCTTTCAACCCCTACATTATACTCCGTCAGCAAGTGCAGTCTGATCTCCCAAGTGGGTAAATGAAAGTGACCAGTTTATTTCCCTCCTTAAGAGCCCTCAGAGGCTATTCTTTGCTTCCAGAATAAAGCCCAAATCCTTACCCAGTTAGCCATACAATGCCATCCTTGATCTGGCTTCTGCCGGCCTCCCCAGCCTCATCTTCTTGACTTCCTGGCCGGTAAAATTTGTAGATCTCTGATCCACAATATGCTGTTCATTAAATCTATCTTTGTTCCCTGTTCATCCCTCTGACTAACATGGACTTTTCCCATCATCTACTTCCTCTATACCCAATAATAATATACTTGATCTTAGCCAAAAGGCCAAGAAGCAATAATAATAGCTCTAGGAAGTCTTCTCAGGCTGTGAGGTGGCCCTTCTAACTTCCACAGAGCTCTCCTTGAATTGTTCTATCATTGCACTTCCAATAGTGTATTATAATTATAGTGAACTTTGTGATCTCCTTTCTTATAGAGACATATTTGAATGCTAGCAAAGTCTCTGGGTTATAATAGGTACACAATAAATATTTAACAAGCTGAATGTAAAATTTATAGAATAGTATTTGAATATAAAGAGGAATCTTTCCCAAAGAAATACTCTTATTTCTCTATGATGAAATCTAGATGATTCATTTTAGGTTTTCTTTGCTGTTGTGCTTGTTTTGTTTTGTTTTGTTTTTCCTTACTGCTCTTGGAATTTTATAGTGACTCTGGGTAAAAGGAATACCTCTGTCTATAAGATTTTTCTGGCATATTTTTGTCTCATCTTGTACTCTCTCTGGTCTTAGTGCTGCAGAAATTCCTTGCTACCCCAGAGCTGTGGTTTCCTATCTGGTAGAGTGGTGGTTGGTCAGTGACCAAGCACTCTGAAATAGGCAGGATAAAAAGAAGAAATTAGAATTAACCTGTTTATGCATTGGACAATTATTTGCTGAGGACCTAATCTGTCCCCAGCATTCTGCTTGTGCTGAGGGTAACATGGTGAACTAAACTGCCACCTCTTCTGTCCTCGTTGAGTCTATGATCCAGTGGGAAGGACATGAGGAAGAAAAACAGTGAATCACAAATGCTGATGTTGAATCCAAATAGTGGTAAATATTCTGAATGAAGCTTACGAGAGTATGTAACAGGGTGAATGGCCTACCTTGAAGGTGGGTAAGCCTTCCCTGAAAGGATACTAGGTAAAATGAGGTATAGATAGACATCAATTACCTACTTAACTTCTCCCACAATCCCAAACCCTGCACACACCTATGTGAATCTTCCCATCTCAGTAAATGTCTAGCTCCATAAGTAGCAACCCTTGATATATCCATGACATTTTTCTTTCCCTCCTAACTTTTATCTAATCTAACAAGAAATCTTCTTGGTACTCCTTCCAGTATATCTCAAATCTCTCTCCACCTTCACTACACCATCCTCTCTTAGCCACCATTATCTACCACCAGACTCCTAACTTGTCCACATGCTACCACTCTTCGCCCCCTGTAATCCATGTTCCACACAAGCGAGAGATCCTTTCAACTTTAAAAAAAATAAATAAATTTGATACATATCATTGTGTAAATTTAAGGTGTTAAAACTTTTAAATCGGATTAATGGATTTCATTTGATGTTAAGATTTCATCCTTTGTGACACATTGTTTTACATACTATAAGAAAGAAAAGTATGGTATTATTTCTTAGAATTTTTAGACTTATTTATGTCTTAGAGATTATTTTATGTATATATATACATGTCACTCTTTCGCATACTTAAAATGAAAATGTAAATGAAACTGGTTAAGGTGTCTCTAAGGCAATGGCAATAAC